TGACTGATTAAAATAACTCAGTATGGTAGTTATTATTATCTCTATTCTTATTTATTTATTTATTTATTTATTTATTTATTTTAAAAAAGTCTTATTTATTTAAGTCATTTCTACACCTAAATGTGGGCTCAAACTCAGGACCCTGAGATCAAGAGTTGCACACTCTTCTGACTAAGCCAGCCAGGTTCCCCATATTATCCCTATTCTTAATTGAAATAATTTAGACTCAGAGAGGTTAGGAAAATTGCCTAAATCCACACAGCATAGATGGCAGTTAGCATTTAAATCTAGTTCCTTTAGCTTTCAAACTTTTCCTCTGACCATTCCTCAGAAATGTTTTTCAGTTCTCATGATAACATCTTCCGTTCCAATTTTATATCAACTAACACAATTTTAGGAGTGATTGCCATGTTACTTTTTGTCATGGCACTTGGCAATTGGACTTCGATGTTTTTATCTGGATCCTGAATTTTATATTCTGGGTAAATCAAACACATGTTTACTTCATAGTTTGCAAAATGTTATCTCAGGCTGAACAGAGTCATTTCTGAATGCTTCTGAGTCTTGTACACATTTCTATTATTGCTTCTATTACATTGTATTGTAACCATTCATCTGCTTTTCCTCTAAGGCTATTCATACCTGAAAGCAGGAATTATGTCTGTAGATTTTATATTCTCATCATTTAGTATGGTGCTTGACACATAAATAAATGTTATTGAACAAAACCAACGCTATTAGAAGAAAATTTTGGATTTGTTTCAGTAGAATAGCAGATTCTTAGAAAACCCAAAGTTTCAAGCTACCCAAGATGGATTCATGGTACAAGCATGACAGCATTTCAAGTCCCCTCCGAAGGAAGTATTACTAAAAAATTGGTGCGTCACGCAGCATTCTCCAAAACGATCTCATGATCTCACTCTGGCTTGCTTGGACAAAAACTGGTGACGCTGGGGCTTGCTCTTCTCCAGGAGAGAAGCACTGGACTCAAACTCAACTTTCTGTAAGACTGGTGGCTTCTTCCTCCTGTCTGGAGGCCACTCCCAGTGACCTCAAGGTCACTCTCCTAGACAACTCTCATAAACAGTTAACACCCAAGGCTACACTGCTTGGTGCCAAGCAGGCTTTCATATTCTCTTTTGACAGAATTGCTCTCATAATTGTTCTAGAAAAGGAGAGAGTGATAAGAGAGTGTGGTCTCTCATCTAGAACTTTTACCCATAATGAATTCAGTACTGTGTCTGGCCCTAGCATGCTTTTCTGTGGGGACAGTGGGAGGATTGGGGAACTCATGACTTTTCTTCTTGAGGACCTCTGACTTTTAAGTTTCCTCAATCATTTAACTTGTGACCTTGTGAAATGTGTTGAGCCCTGGTTCATGTCAGGTGTCAAACATGAAGGTTCCTTATAGGATAATAGTAATAACAAGAATAACAACAGTGACAATAACATCTAACACTTAATGACAGCCCTTGAATACTTCCAGGTACCAGTTCTAAATGATTTACACGTATCAACTCTTTTAATCCTCACAATAACCCTATGAGGTAGGTACTATCGTTATCCCTACCTTATAGATAAGGAATGTAAACATAGAGAGATTTAACTTGCCTAAGATTGCACACCTAAAAATTCTGGCTTTGAGGGAGCCAAAGAAAGATTAAGCAATATGATCCACAAATGGTTAACAGACAGCAACATCTTTCTAATAGCTTTTTAAATGTATTCATCCAAAGATATATATATATATATACACACACATATATATATATACATATATACACACTATATATACTACGTACACTATATATAAGAGTTAACAAATGAGTAAGAAATACCTCTGTCTTTT